GGCGCATGCCTGTAGTCCCAGCTGCTCGGGAGGCTGAGACAGAAGGATTGCTTGAGCCCAGGAGTTTGAGGTTGCTGTGAGCTAGGACGCCACGCACTCTAGCCCGGGCAACACAGTGAGACTCTGTCTCAAAAAAAAAAAAAAGAAGTTCAGATGGGACATGTTGAGCTCAATCTGCCTCTCAGACATCCAAGCGTGATAGAGTAGACAGTCAAAGACACAACCCCGGGATCGGGAGAAAGGTCTGGATTGGAGATGTAAATTTGGGAGCTGTCTGCATATAGATGATATAACGAGTCTTGAGACTAGTTGAAATCACCAAAGGAGTGCAGGTAAGATGACAGAGAAGAGAACAGGGCATCTCATGTTAAGGAGAGGAGCAAGGAAAGGAGACAGAAGAAGGAGTATCCGGGGAGGTAGGAGTCAGCCAGGAGAAGGTGGGGTCCTGGAGGCCGAGCAAGAAGCTGTGTGGAGGAGGGATGTGTGTCCAGTGCTGCTGATGGGCAAGGTAGGTGAGGACTGAGCATCGAACATTACACTGAGCAACAACACAGAGGTTCTTGGTGACCTTGACAAGAACAGATGCAGTGGCGAGATGGGGGCCAATGCCTGGCTGGAGTGGGTTCCAGGGAGAACCGAGGGAGGGGGACTGGAGGCAGCAACTACAGATAACTCTTGAAATGAGCTTTGCTGCAAAGGAGAGCAAAGAATAGGACTGTAGGGGAGGGGAAACCAGGATTAAAAGAATATTTTTTAATGAGGAAAGAAATAACAGCAGGTTTACACGCTGATGGGAGTAAGCCAGTAGGAAGGAAAACACCGATGACATGCAGGACCAGAGAATGGCTAACAGTCTGCCTCCTTGAGCAGGTGAGAAGGAGGGGACCAGCGCACAGGGATCTGGAGAGGCTAGGCAACCGCCGTCAGCTAGCAGCTGCCCTTTCAGCGAGCGGGTGGGATAGGACCGCGGTCTCCTGAGTCAATGAGTCCTGTCAGCTCTAAACTCCGCACCCCAGATGCCCTCACCTGGGTTCCCCCCACATGCAGCACTTACATCACTTGCCAACAGTTACCTCAGGCCTGGCTGAGGACGCCCCCTCCAAGACGCCCCCAGCGCTGCCTCCCCAAGGGGACAGATGTTGGCTGGAGAGGGACACGGCGTTTGTGACCCGTGAGCAGGAGCTGTGTCAGGCAGTAAAGGCCGGGTAACAGGACTCCTGTCTGTGAGAGTGCTGATGGGTGATTGGAGAGGGATCTCCGCTTCCAGGGCCAGCATCTCGCTCCGTGGAGCGCCTCAAGGAGATGATCAAGGCCGGGATGAACATTGCGCGACTCAACTTCTCCCACGGCTCTCACGAGGTGCGGGGCTGGCCAGCGCGGAGGAGGGTGGGGTCGGAGGGTGCCCCGGGGTCCTGGCTACCTTCCCCTGAAACCCCCGCTCCGCCCTCGCCCCCAGTATCACGCTGAGTCCATCGCCAACATCAGGGAGGCGGCGGAGAGCTTTGCCACTTCCCCGCTCACCTACCGGCCAGTGGCTATCGCCCTGGACACCAAGGGACCGGAGATACGCACTGGGATCCTGCAGGGGGTGAGCGGCGGGGCTGGGACCCGCACGTCCGGGGCGGGGGAGGGGAGGGAGAGCACGGACGCTACAGGGGGGGGGAAGGAGGCGGGGCCCGGAAGAGGGGCGGGTCCCGGACCCCGGGGGCAGAACTCACGTCTCCTCTGGCTCCGCCCCCAGGGCCCAGAGTCGGAAGTGGAGCTGGTGAAGGGTTCCCAGGTGCTGGTGACTGTGGACGCGGCCTTTCGGACGCGGGGGGACGCGAAAACCGTGTGGGTGGACTACCCCAATATCGTCCGGCTCGTGCCAGTGGGGGGCCGCATCTACATGGACGACGGGCTCATCTCCCTAGTGGTCCAGAAAATCGGTGCGGACTCGCCTCCCCTTGGGGCCAAGCCCAAACGCTGGGCGCGCCCTTTCCCCTTTGACTCCCCGGTCGCCCTCAGACCCACCACAACCTCCCTTCACCGCGCGTCCTTCCCCACCCGTCCCGGAGTCCCCAGCATCCAGATGCCTGCGCTCGCCCCGGGTTAGGGATGGGTTAGGACTAACGTAGGTTCGTCGTTCCTCCCCAGGACGTCCATCCGGTACCTATACGGTGCCGGGCCCAGAACAAGCGCAGAGAGACGAGTTGGACAGGACATGGCTCCTGATCTCTCAGGGGTCCAAGCCCGGTGTTCTCTCTGCCATGGCTATGCCCAAGGCCTCACGCCCGACCGAAGCTGGCTCTTCTATGTCCGCAGGCCCAGAGGGGCTGATGACCCAAGTGGAGAATGGCGGCGTCCTGGGCAACCGGAAGGGCGTGAACTTGCCTGGCGTCGAAGTGGACCTGCCAGGGCTGTCAGAGCAAGATGCCCGGGACCTGCGCTTCGGAGTGGAGCATGGCGTGGACATTATCTTTGCCTCCTTTGTGCGGAAAGCCAGCGACGTGGCTGCCGTCCGAGCTGCTCTGGGGCCGGAAGGACAGGATATCAAGATCGTCAGCAAAATCGAGAACCACGAAGGCGTGAAGAAGTGAGGCTGGGTCTTTGTTCCCATCGGGCCCTATAACCATTTCCCTTTCTTCTTCTGTCTGCCTCTCCCTGGCATCTCCTGGCTCTGCCACAGCCCTGATTCCCCCCACCGCCCAGGTTTGATGAAATCCTGGAGGTGAGCGACGGCATCATGGTGGCACGGGGGGACCTGGGCATCGAGATCCCAGCGGAAAAGGTTTTCCTGGCTCAGAAGATGATGATCGGGCGCTGCAACTTGGCGGGCAAGCCTGTTGTCTGTGCCACACAGGTCTGGAGTGGACCCTTAGGGCTGGGGCACTCCGGGGGTTTTAGGGAAACCTGAGGGTTCATACCTACACCTTAGATCTATAACACGTTATTCTGTCCAGTGTTTAATCCTCAAGCAACCAAGTTAGGTAGAGATATTGAAACCCTTATTTTCAGATGAGAACATTGAACTGCCAAGATCACACGGCTTGTGATGGTTACCCTGGTTTTCAAGGCACTCTGAGAGTGTAGGTGTCAGAGAAGTAGTTTGGGCAGAGTGTGACTCTTGAAGCTCTGATGCCCATGGTGTCCCTCCAGATGCTGGAGAGCATGATCACCAAGCCCCGGCCAACGAGGGCAGAGACGAGTGATGTGGCCAACGCTGTGCTGGATGGAGCAGACTGCATCATGCTGTCAGGGGAGACCGCCAAGGGCAACTTCCCCGTGGAAGCTGTAAAGATGCAGCATGCGGTAGGAGCTCAGAGTGAAAGGCAAATGGGCCAGGGAACCAAATCCCTTCCAGCCCCCAGTGCCCCTGCCCAGCCTGACATCCTGGCACCTGCAGATTGCACGGGAAGCAGAGGCTGCAGTGTACCACCGGCAGCTGTTTGAGGAGCTACGTCGGGTAGCACCGCTGAGCCGTGATCCCACTGAGGTCACTGCCATCGGCGCTGTGGAGGCTGCCTTCAAGTGCTGTGCTGCTGCCATCATCGTGCTGACTACAACTGGCCGGTGAGGGGGTCACTGGGAATGCCCAGGCAGAGTTTGGGTCAGGGGTAGGTTGGGATGAGCCACAGGCCTGGGTTTAGTCTGGTCATCAGGGATGAAGACTATCATTGTGGAATAAGAGGAGAGAGATCTAGTAGAGGTAGAGGCCAGGAGAGGCAGAATCAGGCCAGTGAGTTCCAGGGGGCTGAAAGGGGACAGTGGCGTCACTGGGCACTTTAGCTTGGAGGCCATTTGGGCTTCTAGGGCTCAGAGGGAAGTCCATTTAGCCCGCAGGGCCTTACAATGCTGAGGTGTTGCAGAAGTATGTTAGACCAGGTAGGTCTAAGTTCAAGTCTTTGCTCTGAAACTTAGTTCCATAAGCCTGCTCTGTTTCCTCATGTCTATAGTGAGTTGATCTTTTGTTCCTCATGGGGTTGTGGGGATTAAAAGGAGCCACAAAGTACCACATATAACTTAAGGCCTATATAAATGTACATTCTCAAAAGGGTTTTATGTTTCCCAATGAGGTTTCTCATTATTTCATACCTTTCTTGTATGGTAGGAAGAGCAGGCATTCTTATACTCACCTTACAGGTAAGAAAACTAAGGCCCAGAGAAGTATGATGACTTACCCAGGGTCGCACAGCTTGTCAGTGACACCTGGAACCAGAACCCAAACTCTTGTTGCCTGGTTCACCACCCTTTCATTGTTCTGGGCTGACCTCCTCTGTCTCCTCCAGTTCAGCCCAGCTTCTGTCTCGCTACCGACCTCGGGCAGCAGTCATTGCTGTCACCCGCTCTGCCCAGGCTGCCCGCCAGGTCCACCTGTGCCGAGGAGTCTTCCCCTTGCTCTACCGTGAACCTCCAGAGGCCATCTGGGCAGATGATGTGGATCGCCGGGTGCAATTTGGCATTGAAAGTGGTGAGCCACCTAGACCTTCCTCCTTACCCACCCCTGCCATTAGTATCAGGAGTCCCCCAACCCAGCTTCCCACACCCACTCAAAGGGCTTTGCCTTTCTCCTCTGGTCCCAGATTTTCCCTCTGAGATGCACTAAGACTGAGAGGCAGCAATCCGGCATATGATCAGATATCCCCACCTCTTCCTATCAGCACAGTCACACAGGGGGACAGCCTTGCTACCTAGCAGCACACTCCATCCCACTCCACAGACACACCTGCAGCTTTAATATACTGCAGTGGTCACATTCCCTGCAGTGCCACCTGTGGGACGTAGCATACAGTTTGCTTCAGCCTCCCCGCTCCCTACAGGGTAGCCTTGAGGTGACAGAGTGATGGCTGGTTCTCATTACGGGGCTGGTCTTGTCCCTCAATAACTATCATCTTCTTTCCGTCCCTCAGGAAAGCTCCGTGGCTTCCTCCGTGTTGGGGACCTGGTGATTGTGGTGACAGGCTGGCGACCTGGCTCTGGCTACACCAACATCATGCGGGTGCTGAGCATATCCTGAGATGCCCCTCCCTCCTCAGAGCCAGCCTACCCTGCACCCCATCCCTTTCTCCCTTGTCCACTTCCGTCAACCCACGCCCCTCCAAAGCCCCACCCCTAAGTCTCCTCTTCGCTACTCCCAACCCTCCCTATCTGAGGCCTGTCCAAGACCACATCTGCCATCTGGCCCCATGCCAGCGTGCCCTGCCCCCCATTTCACACAGGCCCTGAAAGTCTGTGTCCAATTATGCACTGGCCACCCAACAGCACCAACTGTACATTCCCTGTGTCCAATCCGCTCAGCTGGCCCTAAAATGCCCTGAGCCTTTAATCCCAGTTTGGCTGGTTAATTCTGTAACCCCGGGCTTCCCATCTGTGGGGGGCGGGGAGAGGGGAGACGGGGCAATCTTGTCCACATCCTCCACAGAATCACTATTTTAAAAATACTGTATATCCATGCAGTTTGTCATTCTCACATGTGGGCTTCATGATAATCTGAGCATCTCTTGCCAGGGCAGGCTATCCCTTCATGATGACTAATGGTGACATCAAAGCACCACACTTTGGGGGAAGCTGGGGTAGCTGGATGCTGGGGAGAACTGAGAGCCAGGTGGGCTGATTTTGTCACTGCCTTGACAGCCTCTGTGCTGGGCCTGCAGACCGCGCCCCTGGTGTTCTCACACACTCATGCCTTGCTGGGTCAAATGCCTTGCTGCCCCCTCCTGCACCCAGAAATTCCTTCACGCCCACTTTGTTCCCACACACAAACCAGGAGGCAAAACGAGTGTCTCTATTTTCTTTTTAAACCCAGCTGTTTGGAAGCAATTATAAAACTTCTCCCACACACTAAGAACCCCAGAACTCCCTACCCAGGAGGAAAGGAGGCTTAGGATCCGGGCCCCATATTCTTTGATGCTGTAGGGTAGGAGAGGGGACAGAGTGGGTGTGGTAAAGGATTACTCTTGTCCCTGAGAAGGCAGAGGTGCTGGCTGGCCTGCCCTTCCCCAGGCTTGGATACCTCGGCCCTCCCCCTACTCCTGTACCAACAGCAAACTCAGAGGAAAAAAAAAATCCCTAGAGGTAAAAACAGTCCCCCTCCCTCTCTCACGTGGCCCTCCTGCCCCTACTGACAGGGAGGGGGTTTGAGTATTGCTGCTGATGGGTTTGGGCAAGGACCACACCACGGACTGGCATGGATAGGCCCCTCCTGTGCCTCCCCCTGCTCCTTCATCTCCCTACCAGGAAAGGAGGGAGCAATGGATAAAGGAATGGGTGAACACAACGCATTGATAATAAATAAAATTAGCAAATGAATAAATAAATAAAATTAATAAAGGGCTGAATAAATAGATAAATAAAGAAGGAAAGAAAAACATCACATAAGGCTTTAGCCATTTGCCTCCCACCTGGGGGGATCTAGGCTGGCCCACTAAATAAGGAGGTGCCAACTATCTCTTAACTTTAAGGGGAGGCACCACTGGGGCAGGGGGCACAGGGAAGAGGCAGCTCTCAGTTTACAAAAAAGACGGTTCTACCACAGAGACAGGAGAGTGCAGGAACTTGACAGGAGACATGTGTTCCCACTAAGAGGGCATAGACAGGGAGGGTCCACAGGTGGCAGTGAGAGGGCAAAGGTGGATGCCCACACTCAGGACCCAAGACATTTGTTGGCAGCAGCAAGGGTGCAGGTAACTGGCAGTGCCTGGCTATGCTAGGAGAACAGGAAGATAACCACGCCAGGTGGAACCTGCAGGATCATTGGCAGGGAAACAGAGACGTCTAGTTACTTGGCAGTGATGGTGGTGGTACTTGTGCTTAGTAAAGGTGGGGTCATGTGCCTGGGCCTGCACCTGGCAGGACTATAGCAGGGGAATACCCTTGTCAGAGGGCTCTGAGTCACTTCTACTTGGCAGTGGAGACATACAGCGCCTGGCACAGTACCTTGAACGTGGTAGGCGCTCAGAACATATGATGAATGGGTAATGGATTAGGATGTTGGACAGGCTGCAGGGTGCTTGAGCTGAGGACACAAAAACCATCTTCAGGGCAGTAAGGGGAGACATTTCCACAGGGCAATGTTCAGGTCCCCTCGGCCTTCCCCAAGAGGTGTCTGCCCTCAGGTACACACTACTGTGCCCCAAGAGCTAAGGCCGGGTGTACCCAAGGGTTTCACATGTTGGCAGAGAGCTGGAGACCCCGGGAGGTGGCTGGCTCCGGCACTGGTGGCCTGGGGGGCTGGGCTGTCCCTGGAGGCTTGGCCAGGAGCCCTGAGGGGGGCAGGCGCTCACTTCCTGACCCCTTACGCCCAGGAGAGCCATCACCTGCTGCCCGCTGAGGCAGAGAAGGTTGGGAGGCTGAGAGAGGGCGGCCCCGAGGTCCTAGTCGCCGTCCACCTCCTGGGGGCGGCCCCAGCAGGGAGACCTGGGAGCGCCCCGCCCGGGAAAGGCTGGCGTGGAGGGTTCGGGCAGGTGGCACAGGCAGGCGGGAGGTGGATGCCCACGGCCCTCGGGCCAGCAGAGGGCCAGCTCGGACTGGCACCAGCGGGGATGCTGGGGAGCCTGCTGAGCGCCGAGCAGAGCGAGCAAAGAGGGCGGCGGGAGAGTCAGGGGAGAGGGGCAGAGGGCCCCGCTGGTGAGTCAGGGCAATGGCCACACTGGAGGTCACAGCAGCTGCCTGCAGGGGGGCATGCACCAGTGGCTCCCACAGTACTGGCTTTCCGCTGAGCCGAGCTCCTGTGCCTGGGGCCAGGCCCCGAACACCCCGAGCCATGTCCCTGTCGTGTTGCACCAAGTGTTGCTCCATGAGGCCACCACTGCTGCCTGGGCTTGGCTCAGAGCGCTTCCGCTGAAGTATGGAATTCTTCTTGCCTAGAAGTTGTCCCAGGAAGGAGGAGTTAAGGATAGGGAAGGATTCAAAGATGGAGGTTGGATATCAAAGTGTGTGCAGGTACCAGGAGGGAGTCGAGGGGTGGAGTGGGGTTGAGGGTAGGAGATCGGAGTCAGGAGTGTGGAGACGGGGCTGGGGGGTGGAGACTGGGAGACAGGGGTTGGAGGAAGAAGGTGTGTACCAGAGAAAGTGAGGGTCAGGGACTGGTACTCAGGGGAAGGAGGACTCAGGACATGGGGACTTGAGGTGATATCTCCAGGGGAAGGACATGCTGAGAGGTAAGGACAGTGAGCCACAGTGCTGAAAGGGCTGCTGGGGGATTCGCTGGGACTGGGTGGGTTAAGCTGTGCTCTGAAGCACTGGAGCCTCAGCTCCCTGCTATGGAGGCGGGGCGAGGGCACAGCCCGAACCAGAGCGGACGCGTGGACAGGCCTCACCGATGCGGCGCAGCCGGTCCATGGCCACAGTTTCAAAGGCCCGGCGCATCATGGGGAACTCCTCGAGCACAGCATTGAAATGGTCCACGCTGAGCGAGTAGAGGCGGCAGTAGGTGTCAGCCCGAACACTGGCTGTGCGCCGGCCCCGAGTCAGCAGGCAGATCTCTGCGGAAGTTGAGAGAAGGCTTCAGAACCCGTCCCCAGAACTCCTTCTCGCTGGGCCTGCAGCAGCTGACCCAGCTTTCCCAGGGTCTTCCCTAGACTAGGGACAAACTATTGATTACCCCCCACCCCAGGGTCCCTAAGCGCTCCAAGCGTTGTCTCTCTCCAGACACGCAGGATTACTAGATTACTGCTCCCTGTCCTTCCCGCTCTCCAAATTAAAGCCGACAGTCAGGGCTTGCTGGCCCCCGCTCTACTCCAATTCCCACTGCACCCTCATTTCCCTACCCCAAGGGGCTGGCCTGGGGATCTCACTCTACGTACCCTCCTCCCACCCCCTTGAATGAACACCTCTCTGAAGGAGAAAAGCAGCGTCAAAGGACAAAGTGCAATGCCAGAGAGGCTGGAGGGTGGCAAGTGGTTTGGGGACTGAGAGATTCTAGGAGCCTCCAGTCACTCTGGGCAGCAGCTGGCAGAACTGCCCCCACTGCCACAGGCTGGGTCCCTGAATCATGGACCAGGCAGCTCCGCAAGGCTCATGCCCCCGGGACAGCTCTGCTTCATTCCTTCTTGTCTTTCCCCGTCTCAATTCTTGGATTTCACAGTTAAGGATTCTAAAAGGCCCTCTGGCCCAGAACTTTGCAACCTGGCTGTGCATTGGAATCTCCTGAGAAGTTTTTTAAAAATACAGAGCTCTCTTTTCTAATAGGACTTTAAAAAGAAAAATAATATAAAAAAATTTTTTTTTAAATACAGAGCTCCAAGCCCAGAGGATCTCACTGAGCAGGCCCGGGCAGGGGTTAGAACTCTGTGATTCTGCAGCGTAGCCAGGTGGGGCCCCTGATCCAGGGGAGCAGTTGCCCTCTGTCCTCACTCGGGACCACCCCCCCCTCCCTGAGCCTGCTGACCCCCGAAGTAGGATCCATCAGTGAGGCGGGTGTCCCGGGCGCCACGTGCCAGCACACTGAGCAGCCCGTGCTGGATGAAGTACATCTTCCTGCCCACGGAGCCCTCACGCACCACGAGGTCCCCCGGCTGGAAGACCTCAAAGCGCAGCTTGGTGAGCACTGCAGTGACGAAGCTGGGGTCGGCGTGGGCGAACAGCGGCATATGGGCCACCAGGCCCCTGCAGGTGAAGTTAATGATCTCCTGGGCAGGGAGGAGCCTGTCAGGCAGGTTGTGTCCTCTGCCCTGAGATGCTCCCAACTGAGCTTGTCTGTCTCCAGAAAGCCCACCCCTGGGGTCATGATCTGCCAGAGGATGGGATGCTTTAGTGGGCCTGGGACCATCCCTAAGCTCCTGCATTCAGAGCACTCCCGTGAACCTTCGTGGGACCATCCCCCCAAAATAGAGTTCCCTACGGTTCCTCCTCTTGCAGACTTTACCCTCACCCCTTAAGACCTTCAAGAAGGACCCCAGGCCCTGAAAGCCCCCCAAATATCTGGCCTCCCATCAAGCCTTCTGCAGGCCTCATTCCCTATAGTGGATCCTGCTGACCAACATCCCCTACCCACTGACAGCACCCTGGAAGCCCAGGTGCTTGGAAAGCCCCCCTCAGGGTCCAGCTCAGCCCCACCTCCCGGAGCGGCTCGCTCAGCTCGCCCAGGATGCTCTCCTCGTCGAACATCTTGCCCTGGTAGCGGTGCTCATAGTACTCATGGATGCGCTGGCGCGTGTCAGCTGGCAGCTTGTGGAAGGACATGTACTGTTCCACCTGCTTGTACTGTAGGGCCAAGCCATTGCCAGAAAGCAAGAGGACACAGAGAGAGATGTAGGGCCAGAACAATGGTAGGGTGGGGGTGTGGAAAGTCACAGACACAGGTCAAACCTAGGGGTGAAACATGGAGCCAG